CTACAACGTTCATATTACTTCAATGTACTGATGCCACTATTATTTAGTTGTGAAACGTATGGAGGAGATTTAAAGGCACAAGATACGCGGCAGCTTGTAGTAGCGTTTCGAAATGATGAATTCACAGCAGTTTCAGGGGACAGCAGTGACTAATGTGTCACAGGCCGCTGTTTGTCTCAGAGGGGGTCGTTGCAGTTTCCTTGTAACCGGAATTAGCTGTGAAGTGCGACCTTGAGGTGTGAACGGAATGCGAAAGCTTGCCCACAGAAGAAGTCTCTCATACTTTGCACCTCGTTTGCAAGTGAATATCTTAACAAATAAATCTGGTTTTACGTGCCGAGCGTGGTCACAAACCGCTGAATTGGCACAGTAAAAAGTTTTCAGATTCAGGCGAGTTTAAGTATGTGGGACGTTGTGGGTTTATTCATGTTTAATGCAACTGAGCCAATCATAAACAATACTTCGTCACTTTGGAATTGTCTGTTATAAAATTATTGTTTGTTGGAAATGAATTCTTGTACGAAATCTTACTATATCAAATGTATCTGTGCGTAAAAACGTGCAGGCCCATTTTTTGGCATTTGTGAACGCGTAGCCTTAATTCATTGACTGGTTGTCCTGCCGATAGGCCGTGGTGATAATTTATTCATGGAAGGGCGAACTCATGCTTGGGATAGGCCCACTGTCATGTGATGACGCGCAACAGGACAGGCGCAAGGGACAGCTGGGCCGGCAGCACCGGTCAATCTCATTTGGATGCAAATCCACAAGAGTTGAGGAGCTGGCTGACATCAGGAAGGCCTCAGTAGACCTTGGCTTCTTGTCAGCAGAGGCACATCATGTGAGACTGGAACCAAATTGGAACTATACGTCGCTTTTCACTTTTGGGATTCCAACTGGACTATTAACTGCTCAGGGATTGTTTTTTTTTTTAACAGTTACAGGGTCGCAATGTCGCCTTGAGAGAGGCTACATCCACCCTTTGCTGCTGTAACATTTCCAAGAATTTCTCCAAAACATGTATGTGGGATACCTACTGGATAAAGAAAGCGGCATGTATCACCAAGGGCCAGTGAGAAGATCGAGCATCAATCTGCCTCCACAGAACTTTGTTTCCACCCCACAGTACCCCGACTTTAGTGGATACCATCATGTGCCAAACATGGAAACGCACACACAGTCTCCAGGCAGCTGGGGGCCTTCTTATGGCGGGCCACGAGAAGACTGGGGTGCATATAGTTTAGGACCCCCTAACACTATTCCTACCCCCATGAACAACTCGTCCCCTGGACAGGTTCCATACTGTTCACCTGAGTACAGTCACATGCATCCGCCCGGGTCTGCGGTGCTGCAGCCGCCACCGGACAACGTTACTGTGGCACAACTTTCTCCTGAGCGAGAAAGACGCAATTCCTACCAGTGGATGAGTAAAACTGCTCAGTCCTCCTCTACGGGTGAGACAAACATGCCGAAAAATTAATTGTGTTCATGGAAGCGAGAGGCAGGCTTTGGTCAAGGATCAACTTTTTTTTGTTGGTTTTGTTAAGGCTATGCAATCATTTCAAATCGGAATAAGATGCACAAGGAATCGAGGCAGAGGCTGAAAAAGCCACCAGACAATTTGCTGCAGTCAAAGTTATTATGGGGAGTTGCATGAAAAGACAAAAAGATTAGCTAAATATTGTGCAAAGTAATATATTAAAATAAATAGTTTATTTGGACTTTATAGAAAGAACACACATAAACGAATAATCAAATGTACAAGTCTGAAGAAGTAACTTAAGTCAAGCCTTCAGATTACTTTGTACTTTGTTTTCTCCTGTGGTGGAAATTAAAAAAAAGAGAAAGAAAGAGGGTGTGAGGATTCGGCGCCATGTGTAGTTGTGATGTTAATGGCATCATTCCTCGAGATGTGAGCTCGACATCCCTGCTCCTTGTTTGGTTTTTAATGTCATCCGTCATATCCAGGCTGTGGCCTTTGCTTTCATCACCTCCTCACTTTGATATGCGCCGGCCTCTCTACCTTTCCCAAAGTTATATAGCCGGAAAGACTGGTGCTTTTCACAGCTAATCACTCAAAATGAGGAATACTACTAACTACAGCTTTTAACGGTGGTTTTTATGTATAATGAATATATTAATTAATCCTTGTTTTTTTTATTGAATTGCACCCTTCGATCATAATATTGATTGGGTTGTATTTAACCGAATTCAGAGCAGGCTTGTCAGTTATTTTCTTTATCTTTATGCCTTGTACCACAACACATTCAGTCTTGTACAGCTATTTAAGTAGCCCTAAATGCCGTGTGTGGGTGTTTTACGCAGACTAAACAACATCACAACTGCAGATATTTGCCCTCAAGTCCTGTGAGTTTCTCCATAACTGGTCAGACAACGATCAGATTCGTTTGTTTGAAATGCCCCTGACTGCAGTTTTCATCAAAGCGAGATCAAAAAGCGTCATTTGCGTATCTGTGGAGAAGTCGGAGAGATGTGGATTTCAGACGCTGCTAATAAAGATGCAGCGCTCAGATAGGCCGGTCCTGGCATGCAGCCTGCTCTGTGGAAGTCTTCCATAGCTCATAGATGCTCCCTTAAAGACAGAATTAAAAGCAACCCAAAAAAAAGGTGTAGCTTCATGCCGTGTATTATGTGTTTTGACCTCACAGGTAAAACAAGAACGAAGGAGAAATACAGGGTAGTGTACACAGACCATCAGAGACTGGAGCTTGAAAAGGAGTTTCATTTCAACAGATACATCACCATCCGGAGGAAATCTGAGCTGGCCGTAAACCTGGGTCTGTCAGAAAGACAGGTACGACGAAATACCCCTTTATTTCCCTGTTGTGCATTTATTCATTTGCTTTACTTCATAACAGACAGAGAACAGGAATAGCTGCATGCCCCTCAGTCTCAGAAATAGCCACCTTTATATTCCAAAGAAGAATTTCTTTTTCCTAATTTCCTGCTTTGACCCTGCATGTAAACAATGTTTCTAATGTCAAAACAAATTCTGATTAATCTTAACCTTCTGTTACGATTTTAACACATATGGCATTTAGAATTCTTATGCATCAATCCATATGCTTTTCGTTGGATTTTGAAGCATTAATGCATTTCATTGGAAAATGTACTGACAAACACCTAAACACATGCACTAAATTAAACCTAGCATCTTTAAAAAAAATATGTTGCTCCTCTTTTAACCTCAAGAGAGCTGTTTGTTTTGTTTTGTTTTTTGCCTATTTCCATTGTCATTCGTCTTATCGTTAGAAATAAAAACGTTCAGCTGATTATTTTGTTATTTTCGCCAAAAAAAACTGTGTGATGTATTCATCTTTTAGAATTCCACCCTAATGTTTAGGCTACAGACCGCCGTTGGTCATGTTTATTCCACGAGAAGCTGCCAGAAAGAGCCGACCATCTAATTTCCTTCTTTGTGCTTTTTTTTTTTTTAGGTGAAAATATGGTTTCAGAACCGCAGAGCTAAAGAGAGGAAGTTGATCAAGAAGAAGTTGGGTCAGTCTGACGGCAGCAGCGGGTCTGTGCACAGTGACCCGGGTTCTGTGAGCCCCCTGCCAGTGCCGGGCTCCCTCAGCCCCACGGAAATGCACGCTTCTCTCTACCCTCCTCAGGGAATGAACACCTTGCCGTCGATCAGGAATATACAGCAAGTGACTGTGACTCAGTAGAACAGCTCACCTTGTGGACCATCTCTCCTAACTGAGCACTCCAACACGCTGAAGGGACACTTGACGGCAGCCAGAGGACCTGAACTCACAAAGCTGCGCAAAAAAAAGAAAAAAAAAAGATTTATGGCAACGAAAATGCTGGAGGCTCTTCAAATATTGCTTTTTATAGAATAGTTCTAATAATATGGAGATTACAAAAGAAAAAAAAATCGTGTTTCAGACTTAAAAGCTTTAAAATTGTTTGTGAGTTTATAAGATATAAATATCCCGTTTTGGTATGTTATAAAGTGTATGTGTTTGTGGATAAATTGGAGAAAAATAAGGGTAATTTGATTGGACATTTGAACAGTGTGCAGCACAATCTGACTGAGCTAACTGACAAATCACTGGACATGTTTGCTGCACCGTTCTGTGCACAGAGAGCAGCTGTTATTGATACGGGTAGAAAGGTCGTCTAATGGCAACTTTACAGATGTAAATAAAGTGCTTTTTTTGTAGCATATTTGTCATTTTTCATTCCGAATTTTGTTGTGTATTTTAGACTGAACTTTAAGCATTCAAACGAGATGTTTAAAACCAACATAAGGCTTTGGGCAAAAGGTGTACTCTTGATATAATAGAGCTATTCTTAATATCATGACTACTTTAAATGTAGGAACATCCATGAACGTGGTTAAAGTCCATGACTTTTGGAAGACTCTGTTTTCGTCTTTTACAAAGTTCAACTGTGTACAACTCAATTTAAATCCACCTCCTAGGCCTTTACAACATTTAGGCCTGGAACAGAACTCATCTTATTTATTGTAGGACTTATTATTTATTTTTTCAATGAGGAATTTTGGAAGCATAGTTTGTTTTAAATCAGTTTTAGTAGCATTTTTTAAAAAGGGGTTGACTAAACTCCTCACGCAATCACGATTTTGCAGATGAAAACCAGACAGACCCCGTAATTATCTCAGAAACTCTACTTTTCGTTACGTGTGTTTTTAAAAGATTGCGCAGTACCAGCGTTTGCAAATTTAATTTAAACACTGCAAGCAAAATCTGTCCCCTTTCTTCACATCTGTGCATGTTAAATCTGGATCCTTCAAAGCATATTTAAAAAAAATAGCATATGTCGCCATGACAGGGAGTGATGTCATTGTAGTCCCTCTCGTGGGCTCAGTGTGTATTTTGTGAAAAAGTCCTTGTGACTTTGACCTGTAAACATGTTTGAAATGGAGCGCTGAGCCAGAGGAGATGGATTATTTCAATATCTGTCACGTCTGAGCTTTGACGGTCAACACTTTCCGCTTTACGGAGTGACAATTAACTGCCCATTCAGCTGAGGCTCCGCGCGCGCTCCCCTCGTGCGTCAGTGCGCAGGCCCGTAGAAGACGTCATGAGCGTCTTACTACCCAACATGGCGGACTTTGATACCATTTATGAGTTAGAAGACGAAGAGGAAGAGCACGTAGTGAGCGAGGAGCACCTGCCCAGATACTGTCCGGAGCCCGTGGTTATGCGTGGGGCCGGCCACATCACCGTGTAAGCCACGTCGCGCGTGTCGCGTCTGTTTGTCCGGGTGTCGCTTTGTTATCCTTAGCTTGCTAAGCTGATGCTAGCCTGGTGGCTAATGCAAATCACAGCGAAAACAATTAGCCGTCTGTTTAGTCGAGGGCATAGTTGGTTTGACTACGACTTTAGAGTTGTATGTTTCCGTTTCCATGGCAACTGCAAACTCGCAAACAACCAGCTGAATTTCCCTGTTTGTCATGTTTACACGAGCTGAACCGTTAGCTGCTGGTCCTGTCACTAAGCAGACAAGTCCATCCACACCAGCTTCGTGTTTACAACTGACATTAATCAATGGTTTTATCAGCGTCGCCGCCTTTATCTCGGGCTGACACTCAGTTGTTCCGTTTGTACGGTGTCTCGTCGGTGTTTATGTTAGGACGTCAGCCACGATCGATGGAGACGGTCAGATTTGGTCAGATCGATCAGTGGAGCTTAAATCAAGTCACTACCAGCGTGTCATCGCTGTCAGCTGCAGTGATTATTTTGCTATGTCGGGCTTTTAGCAGCCCTTCCTCCCCTTCCTCCTCATCCTGTCCAGTGAAGGCTCAGCAACTTTCTTCAACTTGGCAGGAAAAGACCAGACCTGATCAGCTTGCAGACACTCATGCTCGTCAGTGTCATCACAGATGTGGTTGGTATTAGACCAACTTTGGGGAAACAGAATTTAGCAAAAATATAGTAAACACCCCAAATGAAAGGATCAGCATTAAACGGGTTCACAGTAGAGCTAAATAGTGCCTTGAATATATATTCATGTAAATCCAGAATTGGTCTGTTTTGTCTCACGTTAGTGTTTTTTTTATTGTTTATTTTCCACGCCCAATATACAACACATGAACAAGATAAAAGGAAAAGGATATTCATCCGTAGCATCAGTATAATAAAATATTAACAAAACATCCCAGAAATGAGTTGAATTTTGGTTGCTGATTTACTCTTTTAACTTTATTCTGTTTTCTTCAAAAACTGCTATGGTTTTTGTATTGAAAGGTTCCACATAGCATCTTATATTTAAACGTATTTAAATTGTAAATCCAGGTTTTATTGGTTTGGCTTGACTTCTAAAATATCCTAGAACGATCTATACATTCTGGGTTAGAATATCTAAATTATTCACTGTGGCGGTCCATGTTGAACTGATTTGATATTAATCTTAAACTAATCAAAACAAAAACTAAGGAATGCTGGTTTAGTTTTGTTCTCATAGCGTGCAAATAGTTACAGCAGATTTAGCTCTTTTATTGAAAGAAAAATACCCAAATTGAATGTTCCTTTTTCTTTCTAGGTTTGGACTCAGCAACAGATTTGACACAGAATTTCCTTCTGTTCTCACGGGAAAGGTACAGTTGCCTCTTATTTTCGTGCACTTCAATCTGGCGAGCTGCTGTCTGTTCAAATCCAAAGTGGGAAGAATCAGGCAGTTAAAGCTGCAGTGATTCTATTGTGCGGGTGGGCCGTTAACAGCCCCAAACTGCACCATTCAAGCCTACCAGAGTGGTTTTGATCTGATGGAGATGCATTATAAGCAGCGCAGCACACTGCATAGAAAAGAGCTTGAATGTGCCGCTGTCCGGCTCTGTAAATGAGTAAGCCGTCTATGGGGCGCAGTTGCTGGGGACCCCAGTGTTCTGGAGGGTCCAGCGCCAGGTGATAAAATAATGAAATGAGGACTCTGCCGTAGACAAGAAAGGAAAGCTTCCTGGGTCGGACGCAGAAACACAAAAAGGCTGCAGGGGTAAGAGTGGGCCGAGGGAAGTGTGGGGCAATAAAAAGTACCTTCAGTATTGTGACCCAGGGTGACATCTGATGGATGAGGTCACAATTATGATGATTGAAGGGTGCAGATCAGGCCCTGCTGGGCTTTATTCTGAGGTCTTTGGCTGTTTGCAAAGAGACCTTTGCATCCTGTCATAAAAGATTACGACCCCCGTTTTATGGCGTACAGACTCAGAGAGGAATGAGCATCCATTCAAGTTGTTTGGCCACTGCTGCCACAGGCACTGAGCTTATCTCTCCTTTGAGTCCCTCCTTGCCTTGAACAGTCTAGAGCTCAGTTAGCAAGTCGGTGGCATAGAATTTGAAGATCCCATCTCTGGACAACATCTGCAAATATCAACCTTTGGGTTTTCCAGAGCTCTTTGATCTCTCTGTGCATGTTTCCTAAGACAATGAAGGTGTCTTTAAAGCTGGCAGCGCCGAGTTACACTTGCATGGTCTGCCTTCTGTTTAGGGAGCAGCACCCCCCTCCCAGTCGATTGTCTCATACATGTGTCTCGTTTCCTTTTTTTCTAAGGTAGCACCAGAAGAATTCAAAACCAGCATCAGCAGGGTCAATGCTTGCTTGAAGAAGAACCTGCCAGTGAATGTGAAGTGGCTCCTCTGCGGCTGCCTGTGTTGTTGCTGTACCGTGGGCTGCAGTCTGTGGCCTGTTATCTGCCTCAACAAGAGAGTAAGTCTGAGACCTCCCGCAGCATGACGTGGACAGATGAACTCTCCCTTGCTCCAGCGCCCTACTCGGGGGCCGTTACAGCCATCCGGCTGCATTTGTCTGAGAGCAGAGGCTAATGACGGCCCGCGTTCAGTTTGGGACTCTGTGTAGAAACGATGCATCACGCAGCTCCCCTCTCTCCCCGCTCAAGGGTGTGTCATTTAAAGCTTGTCTCACCACTTAGCATTACTGACAACAAAGTGGAAATTACTGGCTGGTAAATTGGGAGTTCAGTCCATAAATCCTAAAACTGTAGCCGTTTACTGTTACCTGTTAAGACTTTTTAATTGAGCGATGCGGTTTTGCTGCCGGTGCTAATGCTGATGCATTTGTTCTGTTTTGTTTTCTCTCCCAAAAGACAAGACGGTCTATCCAGAAGCTGTTAGAGTGGGAAAATAACCGATTATACCACAAGGTAAGACAGACGTCAAATGGCATATTAGCCCACGTGTGAAAGTGCTTAATGGTTTGTGTCAGCGTGAAGTGAGAGTCGAGCATCGTCATGATGGATAATGATCATTAATCTGTTCTGTAAACTCAGACTGGCCTCATCAGCCCCTCAAAGCTCTTTCAGACAGCTCTCGTGCACGGGGTCCGAGAGGAGCGTGAGGTCAGCGGCAAAAGGCTGCGTTCATTTAGTTTTGTCTCGCTGCAACAAATTACCGCTAGTAGCCGTGCGAAGATATAAAGGAAGCTCTTCAGGGTGTCTGGCCACAGTGTGACCTTAGCCAGACCAGACAGCTCTGCTCCCAAATTCCTCTGTAGCTCAAGTGGAGATTTCAGACAGATTCTCCTTTCTTTGTGTGTGTGTGTGTGTTTGTTTGTATGCGTGTGTGCGTGTCTAAGAGTAAAGGGACGTTCGCTCATTGTGTTTGGGGCTTTTCTTCCCTCCACAGCTGGGGTTGCACTGGAAACTCAGCAAAAGAAAATGTGAGAGCAGCAATATGATGGAATATGTGAGTACGCTGCCACAACAAAACCCTTTTTTTTTTTTATTATTTACATTCAAACAGCACTAGTCAATTTGACCATTTCACACAATTTACCAGCCTAGTTTTTCTTGTATCTTACCAGGAAAAATGTAAATGGGAAAACAGTTTAAAGAGGAAAAACACTGTTGCTGTAATTCTTAGCAGCCAGAAAGCAGATATTTGGAACCACTCCATTTATCTCTCATCACAGCCTGAGCCCTCTAAGGCAACATTTTCATCTATTTAAGTAGTCATCAGTTCTCCAGGCCTCTGAAAGGAGATGGGCTTTGGATGTTGGCTCGTTCTGTGTTCTGCCAGATGATCCCACACTGCTTCTGTAAGGCGTCCCTCTGTTGTCCAATGCATGAACTGGACTGATAATAAGAGGGAAAAACTGTATATCCAAAGACATCTTGTTTGTCAAGACCTGCAGATTTTTCACCGTAAAGTGATACGCAAGTGATATACAAAATAAAAGCAACAGTATGATGGCACACTCCAGCTCCATCTGAATGTTCACTGAACAAAGAGAGCGCTGTACAAAACTGGACATTAAAACAAATCAAATAAGTCTGTGGTGAATCAAACAATCTTGGTTTCAATGCTTCTTAATAGACACATCTTTTTACTTTAAACATTAGGTTTAAGCGTTATGCATGTTTCCTAAAACGATTTCTCTTTTCTCTCCACAGGTGATTCTTATAGAATTCTTACCTAAATATCCTATATTCCGACCAGACTGAGGAGGCTGTTGTCAGACTGACGTGGGGCCCTTGAATCTTATCCTTAGTGCCTTGTATATACAGTATGTTGGAAAAAGGGTCTGCACCGGTGTCTGCTCCGACGGGCCCCTATATCTCCCACTACCTTGTACATTAAAACTTTGCAACAGTGTCACTTTGCTTTAGAGCAGATTTTGCACACCCCGCCCCTCCAAACAGAACCAGAAATGCTCCCCTTTGTTGCACTCTAATGTGTTTTTGTTACATGTTTGAAAAACAAGTGAAACTCTCAAAGTGCATTTACCCCAAAGAACCCCCCCGTTTCCCCCCCGTTTTATCAGTAAATCCCTTGCAAAGAATGTGATGCCTCCACCTTCTGTAACTATCCTTGCCTTATGTAGGATTTATAAAACGAAATAAGAAAAGCAGGTTCATCTGCATGTATCCGGGGAGGAATCAGTGGGCGGGCGAAGAAGTCTTCAGATTCAGATGTCAGATGCTGTTTGTTGGGGTTTCGTCTCTTTGAATCCAGTTCTTTGCAGGTTAAAGGGACGGTTGAAATTGCCCAACACACAGCGTACATCCTCACTCCGTGTTCGGTCTTTGCATTAGCCCTTTGTACATGGAGACTAGTTACAGGAACTGTAAATACCATGTTAAGATAAGCTGTACAGTGGTATACCATTGTTTACATAAAGTTACTTAGTTACCTTAGTTTTTGCCAATATATTGCTGTACCATAGTTTTCATTAATGAAAGATGTCTATGTACCCTTCTAGTTTATATGGACCTGTTTACCTTGTAAGCCATATAGTGACAGTGTATCTGATGCCAGAGTTAAGACTGACTTTTGCACTTGAGCGCAGAGGAGGGTCAGGATTGGAAAGGAAGCGCATCCTGAATATTAATCCTGCAACCGCAGCAGTGCATGTTCTAACCTGTAGTTTTTGCCAATGGACGTGACGGTCATAATCCTTTAAACAAGAGACGGTTGGAAGATTTTGATTTGAACTGTTTGACTACACGTTTTCTGTTTTGTTTTTTAATCCAAACTTGAATTAATTTTATAGTTTTATACTGTGCAGTGTTGGGTCCTGATGTGTCTGGAAGCGTGTTCACCCCAGTGTGCATACGTTGAGCAGATGTCTCCTTTGTTTCAGTCATCATCTCAACCGATATGTTATTTTCTTAAATCCAGTTCGAGAGATTTGCTACATTTCGTTGTTTCAGAGTGCCTCCGGAACAGTAAAGAGCTACAGAGACGTACAGGATGAAATCAGTTTTCCTGTGTAAAGAGGATTTTAAATCCTCCTCCCACTATTGTTCCTGAAACAGTTCTTGTACATGTTTATCATGATGATCTAATTCCTCTGGAGAGAGAAAATAAATGGTTGATTTGAATCCTTTCATTTCTCTGGCTTTGTGTTTGCAGTATAACTGATGAAAACAGTCATGGAGCTCTTAGAGTGCCGCGTGGCCACAGCCAGCTGCCCAGCAGTCAGCTGCCCAGCAGTCAGCCCCGACTGTCTGTCATGTTTAACAAGGTGCTGAATCGTTAACTTTAACAAGACGGCCTGCAATTACTCAACACGTTTGTAAAAATGAGGAATGCTGTTACCATAACCTGCTGCCGCTGCTTCCTAAACTTACAGATCAGCAGTGATGAGTTCAAAATGCTGCACCACGTCCCTACTGTACCCCCCCCACCCCACCCCACCCCACCCCCCCACTCCTGTTGCTCTGAGGTGGTGGGCTTCGCTTCAGGGTGGTTCGCTTTTATGGTCCTTTGTTTTTTTTCCCTTTCATTCAGCCTCTGCCACTCCAAAGTTTTTTCACCAGCATTTTACGGCTGCAGCAGTTTGAACTCCAGCTGTCACCGCTGAGATTTCAGTCATTTGGAGATGGATTAATAAAAGCTGCGCTGCATCTTAAACACCAGAGCCTGAAAATAACTACTCTAAAAAGCCTGTGGGGATTGATTTTTGCTTTGACCAGATACAATCTTAACAGATCTGTTCTGTCGGTTGTGCTCTTACATTCAGTTGAAGGTACTCAGAGTTTTGCTTTAAGGTGTCTCGTACACTTGCTGCTCATCTTGAAACTATTTAGAGCGCGTCCGACTTTCCTTGAAGAGTAGCTAAACAAATGAGGTAATAAGGGATAACGCCGCGCACACATTATAATGAGCCGTCCAGAGGAGTTATGTGTCCACCAGGGGTCAGACTGAACAGACAAAGTGTTTAACCATACAGTTCTTTTAGATATTGGCTTTGGTTACAAAATATTTAACAGTTGCACTTGTTCTCTGCCTAGAATTCTGCACAAACGGCAGCTTGTAAAATCCAGTAAACATTTCAGACCAAAACTAACGTCACCAGAGTGGATGCAGAGGCCACACAGACATGAGAGCAGCATGATTTGATGTGATTTTATTGAAAATCATGAAACAGCAGATGGCCTAATTTACACATTACTTGCTGTACATTTCACAGCCATTCTGGGTTGTTCCAATGAGTCTTGCATCCACTAAGATACAAGCAAGGCCACAGGGAATTTAAGTGATTTTCTACACAAATGAGGCCGCTCTCCTTTGTTTCCTATAAACAGCATGAGATAAAACACATTTTGGTACAGAGACAGTTTAAGGCAATTGTACATTCTGATTTCTCCTTCAGTATCTACAAGGCACCCACTTCAGAATGAGTCGTTTGATTATGGGAAAATAAATACAGAGCACTGACACAGGGACACGAATATTTGAATACAAAAAAATAAGAAAATAAAAAAAAAAGCTAAATGCCTCACTCAGGGATTACCAGCATGTTCAGCTAAGATCAAACATTCATGGTGAAAAATTTAGTAAATTTGGAGCAATTCAGAGTTTGGACATGGTCAAACTTTACTTCCTGTTGCTGAAAGTGTAAATATATGAACATCTGACAGTTCAGTTAAAAAAGCTGGAGGCCGTTTCCTTCAGATCGGATGGTAAAAAGATGTTTGTGTTTCCTTTATGACAAGGCCACATCAGCACCGACTGTTCTGACCGTTAGGACACCGAAAAGTGATCAGTTCTTTGCCTTTTAGTCTAATTCCTGTCTGTTAGAGTGAAACAGACATGGAAGCGTCATCACTGTGTTGAATGTTTTGAAAGTGCATTAATTTCAGACTGAATAAACCACCACCGTGGTTCAGTGGGTTGACATTGGTCAGCAGCCATTTTGTTATGCAGTCATCAATTATTCCTCATCTGAACCGACGACTCCCATTCCATCTATGTACACCGTAAATGTGAATCACCTGAATCAAATGTGACTGACAGTATATAGAACGGCTAGATATACGTAACTACACACAGAATCAAGAAGAAAATAACTATCCTTCCAGTTTGTAATTATTCACTGATTGTCATTTCTGCACCCTGATATTACAGCCAGCGGAGCCGTCAGGCCTCCAGGCCCCGATGCCGTCCATCTGGTGTGCATTCCCTATTTTAACCCGAAAACGCTCTGCGTGACTGATCAAAAACTCACAACGAAAGTGACGAAACCAGGCTACGTGTGTGTGTGTGTGCGTGTGTGGTTGAAGGGAAGCCGTGGTGCTACACCAGGCTGCCGGGCCAGGACACCACCGTCAGGGTGACTTTGTTCTTCTGCAGCTTGAGCATGGGGATGAGGGAGGAGTTGTTCATCCCCACCGTCGTGGCTCCGTTCACCGCCACTATTTCATCCCCGCACCTGAGGGGGGCAGAGGCGTGGGTGAGGGACGGGGGAGCTGGTAACGCGCTGAGCGAGCGAGCGGGGGCGGGTTTGGACTCACTTGAGGCGTCCGTCGAAGTGCGCCGGCGTCCCCGGCACGATGGTTTTGATGAAGAAGGGCTGCTGCCCGTGGCTCTCCTCGTAGCCGCCGACGATGCTGAAGCCCCAGCTCTCGCTGTTGGTCTTCTGCAGGACGATGTCGCGGCACCAGTGCATGTGGCTGAGGACAGAGGGGGAGGCTCTCACACCCGCCAAGCCAGTGGGCGTGGCCAGGGAGGGGGGGGGGGGGGGGGGGGGGGGGGGCCCCCCCCCCCGGGAGGCGGGGGGGGGGGGGGGGGGGGGGGGGGGGGGGCTCTACCTGGGTAAGCCCAGCCAGCGGGTCCACAGCGGCGTCCAGTTGAGGGCGTCGTCCCGCGGGTCCTCGGCGGGCTCCGGCTGGTCCTTGCCCCCGGCGTCGGCGTCCTCCTCCGGGTCCTCGGAGGCGGTCTGGATGACCCGCAGCAGCACCTGGGGCTGGGCCGTCTGCGCCTTCAGCGCCGACACCGCCTCGTTGTAGGTCAGCTGGGTCAGGTCCACGCCGTTGATGCTCAGCAGAACGTCGCCTGAGGACACACGGCGTCAGACACTTCAGGACCGTCTTAGTTTTTGCTGCTGTCTGGACTACAAATAACAAATGAGTAAACTGTGTTTTACGTGGAGCAGACAGCAGTCGGTCAGCACGGCTTTTTATTTCAGAGCTCTATTCAACGAGGGTTCAAAATTCATTTCCCAGGAGCCTCCTGGGTGAGACAGGCAGCAGCTAAGGCCTCCGACAATGAACACAAAATGATCCATGCAGCTGGCTGGGAGCTGGAAGGTCTTCAGACTGAGAGCACTCTGTCTGATGAGTGCACACACAGCCTCACACTTCAGTTGTTCACCCTGTGTTATAATAGCTGTGGCTCTGATTTCATTAGGAGTGATTGCATGCTTGCTTTCCCCAGTCATTTTCATCATTTTTAAACTGAAGTCAATCTCTTTTCAAAGTCCTACACATCAATCTCAAATCGACTCCAATTGTTTTAGGCTTTTGCTTTCACCGACTCTGTGCTCACCTCTTTAAGCCATCTGAACGATTTCCAACCCATTTATATATTTAATCTAGCACATATAGACAAGTCACAATTAGTCTGAATTATTCTGAATATGTATCATTGTCTTATTGGACATAACTCTTCGTTACCGTATATTACGATGTCTGTATGTGATGTGGTAAAAACTGGGTAAAAAATAACCTGGATGGTGGACGACTTTCACCAAATCTCCATCTGGATTTTTATTTTGTGGTACATTTTGCCTGTTTTATAAATTTCTAAAAGGAATGAGCTCAGACTATGCTCGGTTTCAGCCAGGTGGATAAATACTCAAGTAGACGCAATGTTTAACAGCACCTCTCTAGAGAAGATAGTGTCCAGCCTCTACGTCCACACACATCCTCTGTTTAATGGCCCTTGAGCAACACATTGTATCTGTGAATAGACACAGGATGAGCAGACAAAACGGCCCTTTTCCTATTCAACCAATTGTCATTTTTACCTTTTTTCTACAAAAGCTGTTTGAGGGCTGGTTCATGGACCTGGACACAGTTCCCCCCCCCCCCATTACTTGCAGCCAAAGAACTGGTTTTCCTAAGGAGCACCAGCACTTTACTGCTCTAAAACAAAGAACAGACTCACCACTGTGGGGCTATCGTGATCTAAATAAGTACAAGTGTTAGTTTTAAATCTGCCTAATCCAAAGAAGAAATTCCCACTCCGATGAGGGTTTAATCGGATTATTGGACCTGCTGATGGATGGATAGACATTCTCAACACCTCTTGATGAAAGACATTCTTCTGGACACAACTTATGTTCTTTGATGTCAAATATAAAGAAGAATTTTCTATTTAAGGTGGAGACATTGGTCCTTAACAGCCATCCAGACAAATGTACAGGAATGTTTGACAATAAAATGAGACTAAACATAGGATGATGACATGGTTCTGTGATGGCTGCTTAAACCAACTCAGAACAGATGTTCTTCTTTTGTTTTCCATTATTCCAGTTAATTTAGCTAAATATTTCCACAAAATTGTGTCTGCTACTAACCAAAATGACTCGCTTGATAAGCAAACTCCTTCATTCTCCTTTTTCGATTAACAGGAGACCATAATAAATTCGAAGTCTATCAAATTATAAGTCAAGCAACCGATTCATCAGTAGCTATCTGACAATCAGATGATCATTTTTTCTTTATTTCAACAAAAGCCCACTGCTGTAGCTGGGTACCTCTTTGGATGGTGCCATCCCGGTGCAGACAGCCAACCGGCTGCACGCTGGTGATGTAAACGGGCAGGCGGCTGCGACAATCCCTCCCTCCCGCAATGGTGATGCCCAGAGAGAGGCGAGGCTCTTTTTTCAGGCTCACAGTCTTCTCCTGGCTGGAAAAGCCACCCGGTGGGTCCTATATGAAGAAACACATGCTAAACTCAAAACACAGATTTGTAAAGCTGCTGGTTTAAATAAACAAATCACCACAATGATCCTTTTTTTTAAAAAAAACTCCTGTCTGGCATGAAATGCCTCCCTATCTAAGTGGCCAAATAATCTCTCCACTCATGGGTCCTTTGATTTAACTGATCGCTCCCGGTGACCACTTGTAGAAACAAATGTGAAACATTTGAGATGGAGCTGAGAGGTAACAGTCGAGGCAACGTGTGAGGATCCTCACTCAACTCTCGTAGTGGACAAGATGTGTGGAAAATGACAACTCCAACCAGGCTCCTTGTTGCTCTCTGGAGCCTGTAAACGGTCGGAGGGGAAGCTCGGGGGTGGTGGGGGTTCTTCCTTCCCACAGTGGGGAACCCGACCCCCTCCCCCCCTCAGCGAGACGAAAAGGCTCGACTCGACAGGTGAAGGCTAACTGTCACCAGCTTTGATCCTCCGGTCTCCCAGAGAAACAACCCAGAAAAACAACACGGCCGCGGCCCGTGGCGGAGCAGACAGCAGCACCCCGGGCCTTTTGATCAGGACAGAGCCCCGGGGACAGCTTTCATCTCCGCTCACCAGTGCAGGTGTCTGGGCTCAAAGCTTCTCACCCCCAGCTGGGGGGCCGCCGCTCTGCGTAAAGACGGTGTAAGGTACAGCTGAGCGCCAGGACGCTGGAGCAGAAGTCAAAATCTCACAGCTCACAGAGACATGTGAAGTCTGGAGCTGCAGAAATGATCCCCGTCTTTAATCTTGTACGGTGCTCACACGCGTGTCAGAGTAAACGGGGGGGGGGGGGGGGGGCGTGGGTTTATTTGTTTAAGAGGAAAAAAGGGTTTGAGGAACCCAGCCAAGTGGGACCACAGATCTCTGCCAATACATCGGTGAGTGTAAGGCCGATGATGTATTCCATTCCTGTCCACGGGCTCAAGTAAACCAAAAGCCTGAAATAGTTTGTGTATATTTGCTTGCTTTTCTTTGTGTGAGCTGGATCGGCAAAATCTTAACTTCTAATCAGAGATAAAAAGGTCCCACCCTCTTGATTCTGATCTTTCTCTCTGCTAATCTATTCCTGGTGTTCAAATAAAGCTCTTTATGAGGCCTTTAAAGACACTGACCAAATCACAGCTATTTTTTCACTAATACTCACAATACACAAAGAATGGAATGATGTGTAATCCGAGTAAGACACAATGTTAGCAGAAGACAACTTCATTTTTGGTATATTGGTGCGAGATATAAAAACATATTTATCATTTTCCCTAAGCTAGTTGTGCATCGTGGGTTCTTAAAGAGCATGCAGGACCAACCATCGCACAGATAAAATGCTTAGAAGGTGTCACTAAATAAACGCTGTACTGTGGTTAAATGTGGCGATTACAACGTTTGGCCGTTTGTTTATTGCGTTTGATTGGCATGTGAACCCACAGATCAACTTCTAAGACGATAAAGTTAAGAAGAGCTTTCGGGTTTTTATAGTGTTAGCCACTGATCAGCAGTATATTTGTATTTACTACATCAAATTTTTAAGAAACCTCACCATGGCTGCAGCAAAAACCAAGGCAGCATGCATGACCAGAGGTCGTCATGGCAGTGGAGACATACACGAGTAAAAAGAATTCAATCACTCTAAAAGGTTTGGCCTGTAAGGAAAGGTGCTGTATTACCTTCATGTAGGTGGACCTACGTCTGAAGTACTGCGGCTCAGGGGCCCTCCTGGCTGCTCTGCTGCTTCCTCCTTCCTCCTGAGTCTCAGCAGGTCTCATCACCACAAAGTTCACACGCACCTCGCTGGCCTGAATGCACAATGAAGAAAGCAAACTATTTCATGAGCATTACAACCTTTATAAAGATCTCGGTGATGGATATTTACTGCACTATTATCTCTTTTTGATACTTCTCGAACCAGTGTGAAAATTTTTTCATTCATAATCATTAGGATTGGGCCTGTTGATCAAAGTATCGACACCCAGGTGAGTTTAGGATCATTACTCGTTTAACTAGATCATTATAGTTATTGCAGCAGTTTTTCTTCTATATGAGCAGCAGATTCGTCTGAAGTTCAATCAGACCCCCTCAATCTAACCCTAACCCCCACCCAGTGGAGGGTGTCAGCACATTGAACAGTCACGTTACATCTAAGTGTCTCTACCTGTATTATCTGGGCGGCGCTCTCCGGTGTACCGTGTCTCAGGTCATGCCCGTTGATGGCCAACACCTTGTCATTATTCCTCAGTTTGCCATCTTTGGCTGCCAAACCACCGGACAGCAGGTCCAGGATAAAGACCCCACTCTCGTCGGACTTGCGGATGAGTTTGATGCCCAGCGGCTCTGTGCGATAACTCTTCATCAGCGTCACCTGCAGGACCGTGCCTGGGTTGTGACTGGAGGTAGCGTTGCCATGGGGACTGGGAGAGGGCTGACAGGCAGTGGAGGAGGACGGGTGGTGGTCGGACCGCTGGTCCCTTAATTTGAACCCTTTCTCCTGCATGACGGTGAGCCTGATGAGGGCGGGCTGCCGCAGCGCGGCGATGGCACGGGCGTGAGGAACCGAAGCCAAGCTGACATCATTCACCTGGATACATGACACCACAGGGGGAAGACAAACACACACCCTCAGTGCCAGAGAAGCTGAACAAAAACACAACCCTGCAGGTATGATATATGACGCCACCGGACAAAGCTTTTCTGTGGGACAACTAACATTTCATGTGATGCTGATGTTCATTTTCAGTTGAAGATAACCTGCTTTTATATCACATATTGCAAAGTATAATATCCCATCCTACAATGTGCAATATTTACACACAGATATTTTACAATTCATATGGCTATACATTTGTGTCTGAAATGTACCCACACCCAGTACTGTGTACCTTACCTGCTAATGTTTATACTGTATATAATTCTTGCTAATTGATATTTTGATATTTCTGCACTGTTTGGAGTCGGCTTTAATCTAACACATGTGTATAATGACAATTAAAAGCATTCTGATTCTGATCATTTCCTGTGAATAACATAAACGTTCTGATGTCAACAACCACACAGAACAAACGTTGGCTGTCCCGTCTGTGTAAAGCAAACAGTCAAAGTAATTATCAAATATCTAATTAGATACAAAACAACCAGTGTGTTGACACAACAGGAAGAGGAATAATGTGTTTCAGAATCTTTGTGATAAATCTTCCCAGATCTTCAACACATCTATTGCGACCCCCCCAAAAAAACAAAAAAAAACTGCAGCTATTGTTCGACATCCTGAAAGTGTGCTTGTGGCTGGAGGCTTTTTGTGTTTCATTTCCAGGCTTGAGATCAGTCAGCTTAAGGGGGAAGAGCTCCATTTCAAAGATGCTGAGACTGAAATAGCTCGTCGATTTAGTTTGCCGCGGTGCCACACACCAGAACAACTGAAGGCAAGAAATCCAACCAGCGGGACTCCAGGGACACAGGAGATCACTTTTAATTAAAAACTTCAACATGTCTTATTCTGTCAGAAGAGTAACTTGTGAAAAAAACTCACTCATAACTAAATATCTAATTACACAGCTCTAATTACTTTTGACATGTATTCCTGATGCTAACATCTAATATTTAGACTCTGAAAAAGAACAGGAAGCATAAGAGCAGATCAAATTTTACTACAAACTCGAAAGCAAAAGGTACTAAGTCCCTCAGAGGCCATGACCAGGTGAAGTCACTCCCTCTGACATGACTCGTTTGTGCCTGGTGACCACACCTTGTTTCCATGGAGCTAAAGCTCGTTTATCTTGAATGTCTACTGGCAGCATTCTCTGCTTGAAAAGAAGTGTTTACAATACCTTGAGAATGCTTCCTTAAGGTTTTTTGTGCAAAACGTGCTGAAGTCAGTTGTGTCACGCTATGCGTCCATCCTGAATTCCCAAACTGAAGAGGAGACTTAGCACTGGGGGAAATGTAATCCCAGCCTCTCTCCTCGTCTCACCTCTAAGATGTGGTCCCCTGCGGCCAGTCTGCCGTCGCGAGCTGCCATTGAGTCACGGACAATCTCCTGGATCACAATGTTTCCCAGCGGTGTGTCTTTCCCCCCAACGATGCGAAGGCCCAGCTCCTCCTCGGGTTCGTCTCTGAACAGCTCCACCACATTGGCCTCAGCCACCAGGCTGGACCGCAGAGGGGTGTTGTCTGGACGGGAGGAACCAGTGAAACAAGTTGAATGAATATTGATTTGGTGTTTCTGCATCCTTTTTAAGAGAGACTTTCAACAATACCTGATAGACACACGATAACGTGGTTGAATTACCTTATCTGTGCTTTGATTTGGTGTCTCTCCTTTAGCACTGCAAGCTGTTAGTCATCTGTTTTTTTATGTTTTTGTCAAATGTATCTTTTAAAAGTACCCTTTTAAAAGGGAAAAATGTATACTTCTGTAGTTCAAAGGAATACAAGTATATCTAATTAATTAATAGATATATATCCCAACTGTGTGAACAGATATTAACAGTGTATGAATATATATTAGGAGATATACTCTCATGGAAAAGGAGAGCAATGAGAGAAAGGAAAATACTGGAATTCTAAGTAATTTTTTGTTGATATGTACAGAAGATCAGCCAGTGTTGAGACAGTGAAATATATGTGTGAAAGCACTAAAATACTGGCTGACATGATGAGGCCTAAGAAGTTTGTTAGAAGAGGAATTTTCCAGCATGGCACACAGCTGAAGATGAAAGTAAAACATGCTCAGGTCTGACACCCAACTTACACCAAAGGAACAACTTAGTGATACTTTAAAGATAAAAAGCAGTGCAACGCACACCTTGCAGGACTAAACTATCTAATAAGAGGGATAACATCTGTCCAAAAAATATGTGTAGAGCTTGAATGTTTTCCAGAGGAGGACTGAGTCTGCACATAAAGGACATAAAAGATAAATAAACTCAAACTCTGTACTGATTATTTCCTTAACTTCTTACATAAGAACAAACAGCTGATTGCCATCTACTAACCTCAGAACACCTTTGTTTATTATACAGTACTTATTGTTATGCAAGCACATCCACTTTCTTTTTCACCTTGACATGAAATCTAGTTAACCATTAGCCTGTTTACAATCCCAGACCTGACAGCATGTATCTAAAAGATAAAAACGTAATAATACTTTCTTATTTTCTTTCTTTTGTTGTTGAGCCGCTTGTGGTTATTAGAGCATACATTAAGCACATATTATTGCTTAACACACACCAGTACATTTTCATGTGATCCTGTCCCCAAATGACCAACGAATGGAGAGAACCTGCGTCAACCAGTAACCTGTTGTTTAACTTTAGTTGGGTGTAATAGAACACAGAGAGAAGCTGACTGGACATTAGCTGTTGTTTCCACAGTGAGGTGGCTCACGCACATGCCATGAAATCACTTACTCCTCCTATGCTGATCTGAATCATTTTGAAAGTGTTATAAGGTCATGAATCTATCTTGACAACAGGTTGACACTTCAGCACAACAGTTATTTTGGTACGTTTCTATTGTCTTCTCTCTTTTGCGAGGTGCGACATTCCGACCTGAGTTCTAATCAGACTGGCAGGAGCACAAACCTCTTCACAGCTGATTGATTGTGGTCTTCGTGGTGGGGTTTTCTTATGACGCAGCTGTCTGGTTAAAACATCTGTGAGCTGGGACATGTTCCTATAGCTAACTGATGATTCACCAGAGCCAGACTCCAGAGTCAAAACCTTGAGGCTAAAAGCAGCAGGGACTGCATCACTCTGGAAAGAAATCCGTTTCTATCAAACCCTGAAGCCTCAAAATGTTGCAAATTCTACAGTAACGCACCAACGTCTTATTACGACACCCCCAGACGAAGATGTTTGGACATGCAGCAGACTTGTGAGAGCAGGTGGGCGTAAGATTTCAGAGAAATCATGAAGTGACTCCGTACCATCCTCACTCTCCTCATAAGCAGGATTAATCAGGCCGGGTTCCGGCTGATCCCGGGAGGAGTTTTTGGACGTAGCCGAGTGTTTCGCATCTCCAGATGACTCCCCGTCCCCCTTACGTCCCTTTAATTCATTCCACGAGGGCCTCTTCCTTTTCTCTGCTTCCTCCCTCAGCCGTTTAAAAACAGGACACCTAAGGGAAAACAGCGTGTTATTTTATAACCCGAGACAATGCGTGCATGTGAGTCTATTAATAAAACCAAGAGAGATGAAAATGTAGCAAAGGGCTAAATTTGTCATGAGACAAGGAATTTTGGGATCAGAAGAATTTTGAAGTTGTCAGATTAAAACTGGGTTATAAATATTTTGAGATGACAGAGACACGATCGGTGGAGCACTAGCAGAGGAGCAGACGCTTTCACTGCAATGCAGGCTGTCCGGTGAGGCGGGCCGAGCCTGATTAGGTCAGAGCGCTGGGACTGCTGCTTGCCCCTCACGCCTGAACTTTGGATCCTTGTTATTTGCACAGAGAGGCTACAGAAGGGCAGCCTACCTCTTACAATGGACGGCGTCACGTCTGACCGCCAGAGTTATAAACGTCTCATTGGCCCTGTGCAAAACAACACAACGGGCCTGCACCTTGTCTCGAGCCCAGTAATTATAAAGCTGCGTTCACAGAAAAATCCTGCTACCAGGAGACACTGGTAGAGCTTTAGAGGGCAGAAACGGAATAGAAGTCTGTGTTGTAGAGTGGTGACTTCAATTTAACACCTTATCTTAACTTTCAGGGGTACTGTTTACAGTTTGGGAAATGGAGGGGAAAACAGTGATATTTCATATTAATTTCAAATCTGTGAAAATGGCTTTGATGAACAGCCTGTTAACTTTATAAGTCCTTACCTTTTCCACAGTTTCTGACTGCAATTATGAAACTTGCCCACACAGTGAATAAAAACAAAAAATTTACATTTCTATCCTTCATGCACTAGAAAAGCATTTAAAAACAACTTGAAAATCATCCTGGTCCGATTGCAGGCTGCCTTCGCTCTTACCTGTTGTGCAGGTGAGGCTGCAGCTCGCAGCGCTGCATCTTCTGCTGGCACTCGGCGTAGTGGGGGCACATGACAGTCAGCTTGTCCAGCAGGTTCCTCACCAGCAGGCTGGAGGGACGGCACTGGTGCAGCTGCAGCCGCTGGCGGTCCACAGGGCAGAAGTCCTGCTCCTTCAGGAAGCTACTGAGGCAATGAAAGCAGTATGTGTGGCCACACGGAGTGTCCATGGGTCTGTGCAGGGGCTGTAGGCAGATGTGGCAAACCAGTTCGTCGTCCACCTCATCCTGGTACTCGTACAGGTGGGTGTCCTGGCCCTCGTGTTGCTGGCCACACTCTTTACAGACGCGAGCCCACGACAGACTGGCAGCGCTGCCGTTGCTGGCAACTTTGGTTTCCATTGTCTGTCCAAACTTCTGTCAGGAAGAGATCAGCGTCCTTTTATCTCCTCAACAACTCTGACTGGCAAACCTCAGAAGTCTATGTGTGCATGTCCGAAGCCAGGTCTGCCCCAACGGTAAAATAATCCACACACAACAATGTTATCTCCCCGTCTTCATCTTGACTTTCTGTGAAGAGAAAAAATACAGTTAGGTCCACTTCAGACTGCTCTGTCTCACACTGGCCGGCACCACAGGAAATCACAAATCCACAAAGCAGCAGCAATATGGCAGCAAGCTACAGCCCCTTCCTCTCAGCAAGTTTCCTGAGGGACAAAAGGAATTCTCATCTCAGCTAAAAGTCACCGTGCTTCTCAGTGAAAGCCCTAAACTCTGTCAAATGAGGCAGAAAAAAATGGACTGAGTCAAACTGCTGATTATGGCAGGAACAAAGGCATGGCATTATACTAGAGTGAGATTTCTGAAATAACTGAGCAGAAAGGCAATCACCTCCACTAATGACTCTTTGAGCCCTAAAACGCAGCAGTCTCCATGCCTTTGAGCGGCACATCAAGAAGGCTCACATTGGAGAAACTTTTGGACACGCACCTTGTAAATGCTGCTGAAAATCATGGAACATCAAACTAACGCCAAGACAACTTGAAGTGATGGTGTGGCAGCGTTTCAGAAAACATGGCTTTCAGACACAATAAAAAGCTACTCAACCATCATTTCAAGAAAAACAACCTAATCTTGAGCAAAAAGAGATGAAAGAGGGGGGAAAAAAGCACCACCAAGAAGGCACTATCTTCATCCTCCCAATCTTTCCGACCCCTATCCCGAATTGAGGCACACAAAAAAGAAGACAAATAAAAGGGTGCTTTATCCTCAGCGTTATTGAAGTGACTCACCGGAGTAGATACCTCTGTTGTCAAGCAGCCAGTTGCCACTGCACGCAAACACAAGACTTTAGCAGTCTGAAGCCTGAATGAAACCAGAGCCCTGCCTCCCCGCCAGCAACAGACCATCAGAATAATGCCTGTGTGAGTGTGTGCACATATTTGTGTGCAGCAGTTTGGATGTGAATGAGCAGCACCGGTGTGAGGAATGCAGAGGGGGGATTGGTATAACAAGGCTGCGGGATAGGAAAGGAGAAATGTTCCCTCTGCCTCTGCCGTCAGTGCATGTGTGTGTGTGTTTATGTGCCTGTGTGTGTTTGTGTGTGGGCTCAATCTGCTGATGCTGCACTAACACAGGTAAAAACTGTCAGTAGATAACTGATTGATTGCTAACACAAAAGCCAAGTTACAAATTTGTGTGCATGCGTCTTTCCGTATGCATGCATGCAGGGCTTCTACCTTTCTTTGTCTCTGCTTTCCACAGGCAGCAACTATTCCTGTAATGGATAGGGGTTCATGGATCCCGTAGAAACAAGGCTCTGCTCCTTTTCTATTGAAACCACATGACCTGGTCCAAGAATGTGAAATGAGAGATAAACACAATACACCTACAGTAACCACATTATAGTGCCTTATTGTAAAGCTTCATCTATCGGTTAGCCATTAATAGTTTCACACCGACCAAAATACTTTTTCCATTTCATCATAGCGATTGAACTAAATTTGAATCGGTATCCTGATAGGTGCTGTGTCCGTTCACATTGAGCTTTACTAAAATCCAGCATATGCTTTTATTAAAGAACAGGACTGCCTCCCAGACAAACTGGACATATTACTGCTTTTCTGTCTGTGGGTTTCTGGCTCAGAATCCATCCGACCAGATCCAAATCAATGTTAATTATTTCCTAACTTAACACGGCAGTGTTGTGCTGCGTTTTTCAAGGGCACATCATGTAATCAATGTAGAGAAAGCTCCTTTTTCCAGCAACATCTCGTTACTGTACAAAGAATTATTTGTTGATGGAAATGTTATCAATCCTGAAACTGTCTACTAAGAAAAAACTGTGGAAAATGTATTCATGTCAGCCCATCAATTGAGAGGGAACATGAGATGCTGCCAAAAGAGTTAAGGATTTTGAACACCAATCTCAAGATGGAAACTTCACATTGGACAAAAAATAAGATGGAAACAAAGAAATGCTAAGGTTTAGCTTTGTCTGGATGTTTGACTGGCATTAAGTTACTTATCAGAGGACACCGTGATAGTTGCTAGCAATTATTAGCTCAAATTTTGCCTCCATAATAGGCACTTGCTCATACAAGCACTCCAAAAATCACAGACGTACCAATTTGAAGAAAAGCATGAGCAATGGATTCACTGACCAGTCTGCAGGGAGGTTGACAGCAAACTGGGAGCCTGGGTGTGCGTCTAACTCACAGTCCAGTCAAACATAAACCCTTAGTCTCATAAACTAAAAACCCTGATGCGTGTGGGACTGTCAAATATCACCCCCCTCTGTTTTAATCCACTAGATAACTGTCACTGGGGAAAAAAAAACTCCTTTCCATTTATTCTGTTATTTACATTCTATTTTAGCATGAATGTTTTGAAAAGGTTTGAACTTACCCAACGGAACATAAACAACAGGAAATAATCCACGGCTTAAAAAAAGAGAAAAAAAGAATAACACTTTCAGTTTCTCAGGGGGTGGGGTCCAACACGTTCTACTATATCAACCCCAATACACCCACTCCTCAACAAGGGAACACTTTATCCATACGAGGAGGCTTGAAAACCATGTGAGCGTGTAAGCGGTTGAGGGAAACGTCTGCGGCCCTTCCATGTCTTACAGTCTCCCCAGGGATTAGCAGGGGTGGCATTTCTTCAAAGCTGTGCCGAATCCCTCGCTTTGATGGCTGATATGAGTGAGTCACATGCGCTGCTGCAGCCCCACCCACAGTGAACACAGGTGCGACCACGTTAGACCATTAATCCATCTAGCCATGAGGCAGAAGGAGACATGTCACATCTGCCTCCATTTTACACCAGAGTCTGGAGTTACCAACACACACACATGCGTCACATGAAATGGAAAAATAATCAAATGACTACCCAGCAGCAGGTAACTGACTCACTGGTGTCTGCCTTGCATCTGTAAGAGAATGGAACTAATGTGTAAACACACATTCCTTTTAAAAAACACGAGACTTATGAAAAACAAACTCTGTTTTGTTTAGGCTCAGTAAAGATTAGATTGCTCCAGGACCCAAGGTAGCCTCAGATAAGCTGAGGCTGAGCCTGGGAAACTAGAGAGATGTTTTATCATGAATACCTGAAGTTTAACAGACTACTCAGACTACTACAATGCCACTGTGTGTTATTTATACGAACGCCTGCTCAGATTTCTCTTCTTTGATCAACGGCTCTTTGTCTTTCCTCACATGCAAACTGACTATGTACAGTCAAAAACAACCGGCGCTGGTCTGCTTCGGAGAGAAGTCACAGGTAAAAGCTTACACATGACTTTACACCCTCTTCTTAGTGTTTAAAAAATAACTCAGCAGCTAAAGCAACAAACATGCAAAGTCCTCAGTCAGCAGTATTTGCATTGCACATGAAGAAGCAGGAAGCAGTCGACTCCAACAGTGCACGTAATCCAGAGGACCTTAAAGGCATCACTGTCCAGTTACTTTCTCTCCAGCTGCTTTTGCTCACGTGCTCATAAAATCAGTATTCCTTCATTGTCCTCCTCTCAGCACAACTGCACAGTAGCTGCTGAGGAAACATTTAAGAGATCTGAATCAAACTGTTTTCAGTGGGTGCTGGTATGTCCCATCTGGCCTGGGATTCAAATCCACTAGAAGAAGTAGCCGTCCTCCTGACGACAGCAACACTCACAGACCAGAGTTCTCTCTCTGAAATAGAGGGTGTCTGGAGCATTTAGTTATATGTGGGAAGACTCCAGCCACAATAATACTGTTTGCTGGCTCAGACCAAAAACAGCTGCTAAGTCACAACTCATTTTTATCTTTGCGAGGTCAGGCAAAACTTTTGCTGCTTCCACTGCCTCAAAAGTGCATGAAGCCTTCAAATTTTTAACAGATAAATAAACAGATAATGCAACTGTGTTAGCCTTTTGTAAACATATTTCTTTCACATGCCGTAAACACACTGTAACTGTACCGCAGCAACCAAGCTCAAGGGAAACTTTCTCCAACCTGAATGGCCATCAAATTTCTTTGTTCAGTTCATCTGATAGGCAATGTTTGATTTTAAGATTAACTGGTCTCTGGCATATGAATAAGTGCAACTCCTCTCATCACCTCACTAACCTGTATTTCAGTTTTTTAAATAAGGGTTCAGTGTTGTGCAACAATGTATTTTACCCCAAACATTGTTCCAAACCCGACAACAAAACAAAGTACAACAGAAACAAAAGAGAACGTGAGCATGAAATGCAAGTCCACAAACCAAACTTACTATACAAACTAATGGCCCTGCTCTGGATGGATGCAAAGATCCAAGATAAGCATCTTGATTTAAAAATCTGGTTTCAGTGCTTAACTGAGTGTGGACAATTTGGCTCAGATACAATTTCAGTTATTAGATTTCAACAGGCTTAAATAATTGATCTGTAAACTGGGAGGGGGGGGATTCTAATCTTTTTTTAAAAAGAAAAGCCCCCTAACTTCAAATACAACTGTATAAAATCCTCTAAATCCACTTCTCACACCTTTCAGCAGTGAGACATTTACCTTAACAAAAGTTAAAACTTATCAGAATGACTATAATGTATTGGCTGTTTACTGATTGATGTGGCCTGAGATGCATCTAAGTCACAGATTGACTGACCTCAGTACACTAACCCACAAACCGTTACACTTCTCACGTACTCACTGCGCACACTGCACTAACGGGGACTTCTGAATATTCAGAAATATGTGGAGCAAACTTTGAAAGGCAGTAACCTCCATCAGATGTTATGAGCTCTGCAGCCCAGTGAACAGGACCTCTGTACCATTCTGCTTTACAAAAGTCTTTCAGTCCATCAATATTTTTGACACGTCTTGTTGCATAACCCAACCACTCCTCAGCTTAAGGTCATGGACGGCTGCCATCATGTTTTCCAGTAAAATATAGTCTTGCTGTTGTAAATTCATTTTTCTTCCTAAAGATCAAGTAACCAGATCCACAGAGGTCTCTGTGCTTCGTTTTGTTGGTGTGTACTGACCCGTTTCCTCTAAACATGGTGTTGTATTATTGTCAAATTTTATGTAGAGTAGACTCTCTTCAACACTGTTAATATAGAGCTCAAATTAGCCAAACTTTTCTCTTGTATTAAGAGGATCTCTCTGAAACACACTCCTAGACAGCACATTGTCCACTGCTGAACACGGGTTTATAGAAACGTTGTGGTTTAAACAGCCATAGTGGGACTCAGAAGGTGGCCCCTTCAGAAAACCAAGAGTTTTCGCTTGCCATTTCAAACGGGTGAGTCAGCATCGTATCAGTGAGCTTCAAAGTGTGGTGCTGACATCACAGAATCAGGTGAATGATTACAGTGTTGCTTGTTACACACTCATACTACAGTCAGGTTCTTTGACCACGTCCATTGCTGGCTCACACATGCATTAACCTCGACCCAAACATGCAGAGGGGCCGATAGACTTTTTTTTCCTTTTTTTTTTTGTTGCTCTGGAGTTCAATGACCTTCCAGTGTCCAAGGGGCAAGCCCGATGAGAGAGCTGGTTTAACTATGTAAATGCTGGGGAATGGAGTGTTAGTGGTCCGATGCAGAGGGTGATGCAGTGTGAAGATCCTATTGTGATCTTTTGAGGTTTCACTCGTTTTAAACGATGACAGATCTGCTCCCCTGGAGGCTTTGCTGTGTGTGGCTTCTATCTTAAGCTTGCCGATCAGGTAAACGACCCGATTCTCCAGCCTCACCGCCTTCGGACTGCTGTTCACCAGCAAGTAGGGCTCCGAATACTTAGAAGTACATCACACATCTGCGCTTCAAAAAGACCAAAAATATCCCTTTAAGTGCTAAATTTAAACCTGCCAATGGGATGTTTCATAGATTGGTGGGCTGCAGTACAACTAGTTCAAGAGAAGCTGGATGAGATGAGAGAGGGACAGCAGTTCTGTCCATCCCAACAGAGGTCAGCCAACTCTTCGTGAAATGTCATTGCGTTTCCTTCAATTTGGTCAAGGTTCCTGACATGGTATGCTATGTTTTGAACTTCAGAGCATCCACATGGCATCATAGGCTGTACTGTATGTTGGTCATATATGTGGTAAATAAGAGCTATCAGTAACAGTTTGGTTAGTTCAGGAGTGTAACATTTCCCTTTTGAAAATGGCAGAGCATATCAGAATCAGAATCAGAATTAGGTTTATTGCCAAGTAGGTTTTTCACCTACAAGGAATTTGCTTTGGTGTTTATGTATACAAAAATACTTATGTTTGTCCAAGTAATTCAAGAAATATGATCATAAAAATGAAGTTTTTTCCCCTGCGCAGGATGAAGATCTCGTCCCTGAAAGGGAAACGCTAGTGACAGTAACAAGGACATTTCCAATCACTTTCCGTCCCTGACAGTGTTGTGTTGTCACTGCTGCCATAAATAACTCACTGCCCCCCTTTGACAGCCCGGTGCTCCCAATCTCTACACCACCGTGACACATCCAAATGACAGAGGAGGCAATAAAAGTTGGGCTGGCTGGCCATCGGAGGGGTCCTGGTGAGGAGGGCAGGTAGAGAGCAGCACGACATGGCTTCACCTTCAGCTCTGCCCGCTGACGGGGCGCTAACCGCTACACACCTTCGGCACAGAAACTCACTTTTCTGTCAGCTGGGGCTCGTTTGCTCTCCCCCCAGCACACGGCAGCGTTAGCCGAAGCCCCTCATTAAAGCCGCCAACTCTTAGAATTAGGCTCGTTTACATAACCGAGCGGAATTTCTCGGCGTCGACGCCGAAACTCGCCTTACCTGTGTGTGAAGGTTGTCTTCCGGAAGCGGCTAACGACTCGCTAGCTAAGACAAAGAGCTCCGGCGAACTCGGGGAAAAGCACATTTAAAACAGCCCAAAGTCTGGACAGCCTCTCCGCGCCGACGAGGTCCGCGGTCCAGCCTCATTTTTACCGCATAGCTGTCACTGGATAGTCGCAGCCCGCTTTTCCCAGGTGGAGTTCAACCCGCAGGCAAAGTCTGGGCGACTTTCCCAGTTTCGAGCAAATACACTTATGAGAGCTCCGGCGCGGGAGGAGGTCCACGCAGGTGTACACAGCCCTCTCACCGGAGCCCTGCCGGGCATTTAACAGCCTCAAACAGCCCTGTGTAGAACTATTAATTAAGACACTCGGTTATTACAAAGTAGGAGGAATGTCACAGAAAATAATCTCCATAGTGTGCTACGTGTTCAGGGAAAACTTTGTTACAGACTTCTTGTGGAAAAACACACACAAAACACACTGTGTAGATTATCAGTTAATCCCCCACCAGAAGCCAAATAGTCTAATGTCTCTACACCTGATATTTCTAGAATTTGATATAAACAGAGAGGGATAAGAAGGAGAGAGCTTTTGTGGTATGAAATACTTTCCCACTCTTCCAATCAAAAAACATCTGGAAAGAGCTCTGTATTTCTGTAGATTCTCTAATGTCACCAAAAATGTAGAAAGTGGGGATTAATGAGCAGTAAACAAAAGCCTGCCCACTTGTGCGATTTCCAGTGTTGTGCAGGATTTTATGTCATATGCTCTGTACACAGAGCAAAGCATTGCATGAAGTCAGTGCTACTCAGATTAAAGACCAGATGTTCTGCTTAGATTGAATAGTTCACTAGTAAATGACCAACCGTGGCAAATCCATTTGGACGAGCTTTTAACAGTGTTGACAGGATATCACATGAAGATTAGACAGAACTGGACCCCTAATTCCCCCTTCTCTGCGATCACTGGTGATGAAAAGCTGTCCCACCTTTCATTTTCGTGGTTTGACAGGCACACCAGCAATTCTGAATTTCTGAACTTCTATTGTACACATTGAATTTACTATGGTTAACTATACCTAATTGGAGAATTTATACTTGACATTTCTTAAAGGATCACAGACATTAGGACATATGTTCAGTTACTCATGCTGATCAGATCAGCACTGAATAGTTTGTGTATTCTCACCTTAGCCTTCATGTTGTTTAAAAGATGTTAATATGTTAAACCATCTGGCTCATGCTCGTAGTATTATTTCCACAATAAGATCTTATGAAGGTTTAATGTGGGGTCTTTATCAGGACTCAGATGCATGTGTTAATGCACATATGTCTGAAAGTGTAGGTTTTCTCATGGGATTTTGTTGGAAAGCAAATGCACAAACAGGTTTGAGTGATTGAAAATAACTGAAGTCGTGGAGAGTTATGTGCTTTAACATCAGCATTCATGACCTGATCCGAATTTAACTTTGTGGTGACGCATAATACTGACATTTTTTGTTTTTTTATTATGTTTCAAAATCGTCCCAACATGGATCTTAGTTTGTTTTTACTCCTGAATGTAAACACAGTTTTCCATAAAGCAGCTTTTTTATATGTTTTCTTTGAATTCATTCAAATGAAAAGCTGAATCAGTTGAGGTCTGATGAATCATTGGGCTTTTATATGCCTCAATAACTTGACTGTGGTCTGTCTGTCTTTTTAAATATTTGCTGGAGGCACACCTGTCTACGTCAGATAAATGATAGTGTGGTGTGTGTCAGAGAGAAACCACCAAAACGTCACAAGGTTCCAAGAATTGTTGGCTGAGCTACAATTGAGATGCAAATGTGGAGTCAAAATGAGGTATTAAAATAGTCCTAAACAAGAGCTGTCTCTGCCGTTCATAGACTTATATTTATTTCAAACAGACAGTTTTACCAAATTTAAGAGCCACACTCAGCAAAAAATAAAATAGGGCATTGACAAATGTTGAACTTAAAATTAAAACACCAAATGGATCTTTGAATGGAGATCCTGTTAAAGTTTTGTTCAGACAGATAACAATAAGTCGATGTTCTCTGTGTATGACAGTGATGTTTCCTTTGGGAAAATGGGGAGTGGGCTACCTGAGAGAGGCCTGATTACCTTCAGCGCAGCACTCCACAAATCTGGCCCTTAAGGTACAGAGAGGTACAGAGGCCAGACAGAAGCCATTCCTCTCTAAACGACTCGTCATGACAGCCTGCTTGGAATTTGCCAGAAGGCGATTGAATTCTCTCAGACTTTATGCATCCACATGAAACAGACTCAAACGTGTGTCCATAATGCCCAACAAAATGTGGACGAACGCAATCACTGAGCAACGCCTTACTGATGCCATCATCACTGAGAAACTGTGGGGATGTTGGAGGATTTGAATGAAAGATTCATTCAGAGAGACGCAGTGCAAACGGGCAGGAAACCTTTCAACAGGAATGCTTCAGAGGACCTCCACCCTGGGCCAATTTCTTAATATTGACTTAATAAAAACCATGAAAGTTTGAAATATGATGTCTCTAAATCTATAGTTTTAGTTTCTGAAATGTAAATTACTACCTTCTTTTGATTGCTGATTGTATTAATTGAAAGTTTTGAGGTTTAACACAAAACAGGAATTGCTGTGTATATATATTAATTTAAAGACACATACACATTTAGACAACATGGTGTATATGCTGTAGTAATCTGTAAAATTATACAATAATATGTCTAAAAAAGATGTATAATTATATTATATAAACGATATTATATTATAATAAATCATATAATATACAATCATAAGAACAGCAAACCTTTTTAGCTGTATATCATTGCTTGTTTATACTTTGAATTGAACTTTTGTGCATTTACATAAGTAATTATTTAATCTCATGCAAAAAACATTTCTCTGTTGAAAAATGTCCCTTAAATCGAACCAAATGCTAAAATCACAAGCTGAAATAATTTCTTTTACACACACTTTTCAAATGACGTTTGCTGGATTTATGGTGCAGTGAACATTTATTTGAGAGGATGACATCAATAACCACTGATTTTCCTTTTCACATTTTCTACAGGATGAGCAGCTTGCCGAAATATTCCAGTGTTTCTTTGTATACGGTTCACTAAAAGCCAAATTGTTTGTCTCAACTGAAGTGTCGGTCAACATCTTTTGGCACTGAATAGAAAAAATGCTGCCAGTTTTGAGATTGTACCAGTTAAAAGGACTGTGACACATGAATGGTGTAAAGCACCATACCCCCTGCAGAATGGAAGGGAAGTCTCCGTGCCATAAAACCTCTCTGTGAAAGCCTGTTCCTCCCAGGATTTATAGCCATGGAGGGAAACCTCAACATAAAGTGACATTTGCTGATACAAACTCACAGAATGAGACACTCCATGGAGGCAATACAGATGTCATTTGGTCTTTATGTCATAACACAGCTGGGATAAGAGGCTGTTCTCTGAAGTGGTGCTTTCATTATTTGGCAAATTTGTGAGATTCTTTTTTTTATTGCTGTAGTTGAACCTTCAGTACAATACTGGACATTTTCATTAGATGTGTGACTTAGTGTTAATGACTTTATTTCTTAATCTCAGAGATCCCAAATATTATTCAATATGTGTAAAAGAATACATTTTTATTTGGAAAATGTCAATTGTTTGTATTTTCAGTGGCCCTATGAAGTTTTTATTCAGCCATTTCCAGCTGAGGGACATTTCATGAGTCAGAATTAGAATTTGAAAGAATATAATCTATTAAGAAAATGATCCTTTAAAAATCTTATTCATAAAAAGAGTTAAAGAAAAATATGCCACCCATTAACAATTATCCCTTTCTGAAGAAAGAAAAAAAAGGGCTTTCAGTTTTTTTTTAACTTTATTTATGAGGGTTTGCTGGCACAACAAAGGTCAAAATCATGAACAGCTGATTGGACGTAGGCAGTCTGCTGTTTATGAAACAGCATGAATAAATCACTTTGTCCCAGGAACTCTTCAGCCTGAAGCAGCATCAGAACAAAGGACCCATGAACGCATTTCCAAACTTGAAACCTGTCACAGCTTGAAGAGACATGGAAATTTTAAGAAATGGAAACATTGTATTTTAATGTATTTGGAACAGGAACAGATTGTGCTTGTTTGTGACAAACTTCATGAGCAAACCATAGATAAGGTAACCAACAGTTGGGGGGGGGGGGTCCTCCAAATGCTGACAATTTCTACAAGAAAGAGCGACACCGTGTGTTAACATGAGGTAGTTCAGGCTTTCTTTTTCCTCGTTTGGTAGATTAAAAAATGAAATTTGGATTTTACAAGCATTCCTAAAAATCATACCATCAGGCCCAAATTCCAAAATAAATTCTACCTATTCTATAGCTACCATTTCCCTGTTCTTTATACCAAAAGGCAGGTATATCTGTGGTTTAAAAAAAAGTATTTGGGGATGGGAAAAAGACAGAGAAAGATCAACAACGGTCGAAAAACAAAGTAGACGGTGCAGCTCTGCCTCGCTCTTTCTCCCGCACACACGGCATCTATGTTTGAGCTGCGAGTCCCACAAACAAGGGACAGGGTGTTTGTCTTCCCTGGGATCAGTAAACATCCTCAACACAAGCAAGTTCCTCTGCAGTGAGAGAGGAGAAACTCACACCGTCGGGGCAGCTGCACTCTCCACCTCGGCCTTTGATGTCCTCCAGAGAGGCCCGATAATGAAGGTCCTTACATCTTAATTCTTTTAATTGGAGTGTGGATGTAACAGGTTGCTGATACCCGGCTGTCATTTGTCCAGGCTGGTTGTGGACCACGGACAGATGTAGCAATAATTCCTCTTTTAAAGTTATGAGCGGAGTGAAGAATAACTCCTCTCCAGCTGACCCACAGAAAAACAAACAAACAAAAAAGCTCATACATTACCTCATTACAAGTTAATGAAAGCTTTAGCCTTTATTATAGTCCATGTAGAAACGGACAAAAAAAAAACTATAAGTCAGTCAGTCTTTTTTTCCCCCCTTCCTAAAATTTGTACAAATAGTTCAGTAACATCAGAGATCTTTAGTCACAAAATATGACTCAAACCACAGGGAGCAGCCAAATGAATGGAAAATGTTTTAATCTTTTTTGGTCTTGAGGGGAGGACCTTTACATAGATAGAGGTAAATCAAATATATAAATTATATTACATTTAATCTTTCTGATATATATATATACATAAATGTTCCACTTCATGCTTGCGAGGCCATATTTTGGGACCAACAGGTTCTTACTTGTAGCTGCTTTTTGAGTTGTTGCTA